CCTGAACGCGAACCTTTGTCTCGTCTGGCTCTAAGCCTCCGGCCGGCTCCGTCTGCGCCCTGAAGTGGCACCGCCTGCCTGCCTGTGGCCGCAGCCTCCCGGGACCGGGGACGGCCGGACAGGCCCCTTGCGGGGGGAGGGGCGGGCTGCACTGGGAGCGGTCTGGGAGCCTGGCACCGGCCGGCCTCCTGACCTTGAGAACTTCTCCTCCGTGTTGAGATTAGGTGGGTGCCACCTGCCTTCAGGGTGCTGGCTGGGAGGCGGGTGCTGAGTAGCCAGGGCAGTACAGGCGGAACCCGGTCAGCTCGGTGGATGGCGCCGAGCGAACTGTGACGCCGCTGAGCTCAGCACTGAGCGTGTCGCAGGCTCAGCCCAAGGAGCCGCGTTCTGAGGACACGTGAGAACATGCCATCACACGCCTGCTGGGCGCCCGGGAGTGTTCTGTTCTCCGACCTCTCGCAACCGTGAGCACCGCTTAGAAGTGACTGCCAGCTCCGGACGGCCCATCTCCCACACGCCCTCTGCTTGCGGTTGAATTGCAATTGGCCAGACTAACAGCCGGTCTGCAATGCCCCGGAGTCTGTGTCTCGGCTTCGCTTTATTTCTGCAAAGATAACTGCCGCTTGCTGATCCGGATTCCTCAGAATTGTCCTTTTTCCGATTGCAGTCACCTTCGTGTTGCTGTGTGTGGGTCTCGGGGTACCTTGGGGGTGGGGTGGGGTGAGCATCTGCCTCCTGCCCCACGTGCGGGAAAGGCTGTGAGAGCCTGTGCTTGCCGGGCCCTCCCGCCCTCCTCCCGCCCGCCCTCCTCCCGCCCTCCCCCTCCCCGCCCTCCCCCCTCCCACCCTCCTCCCGCCCTCCCCCTCCCCGCCCTCCCCCCTCCCACCCTCCTCCCGCCCTCCCCCTCCCCGCCCTCCCCCCTCCCACCCTCCTCCCGCCCTCCCCCTCCCCGCCCTCCCCCCTCCTGCCCTCCTCCCGTCCTCCCTCCCCCTCCCCCCTCCTGCCCTCCTCCTCCCCCCTCCTGCCCTCTCCCCTCCCGCCCTCCCTCCCCCCACCCTCCCTCCTCCCCCCTCCCCCCTCCCCCCTCCCGCCCTCCTCCGTGGACAGCGGCCTCGCGGCTTCTCTGCGCGGTCCTGGCCGCTCAGTGAGCACCGCCTGCCGGGGGGAGCAGACCGTGCTGGGCAGCCCGCCGTCTCCCTCTGGTTACCTGCCCCTGCCCTCGCGTCCGGGCGCCCATGGGTGTTTTCCACAGCGGGCTGTGCCGTGAACCCGTGGCGCGTGCCGCGGGCGGCGGGGATCCATCATTCCCGGAGGATGAGCGGGAAGAGCCTGCGCTGGAAGAGCGAATTCCGAGCTGTGAGCCTCTCTCCGGGGCTGGGGGGCGTTAGTGCGGGCGGAGGCCGGGCGCCGGGCAGGGGGACCAGAGGCCGGATCTGAGGACACGCAGCCTGTGCCTGGTCACGGGCACACGGGCCGGTGGCCGGTGGCCTGAGGCCTGTGCCGCGGCCCCGGAAAGAGGGAGGACTGTGTCTATTCCAGTTCTACCCCAGCACCTCCCGCTGGGAGCACCGGGGGTCTGCCCAAGAGCCAGTCCTGGGTTAGTGAATAAGAGAAGGGCCGCTGGCTGGAGGAGCCTTCCCTCTGCTGGGGAGACAGCGCGTGTTCGCTGGATAGCCTGGGTACCCCTTCCAGAGGAGGATCCTGAGGACGCCTGGAGGAAGCCAGGGAGTCTGCCCGGAAGGCGTCAGAGTCGGTTTGGGCAGGGAAGAGGGCAGGGTGCTGGTGGAGAGAGGGGGCAGGGTGGTTCAGCTCCCGGGAAAAGGCAGGAGGGAACCCAGGAGCAGGAGCCGGCTGTGGGGAGGGTACAGCGTGATGGGAGAGGAAATGTCTTTGGATCGGTGAGCAATCCAATGGATAAGAAGCAGGGCTGTGCCATGTCTAAGGTGCCCATCCCTCTCTCCCCTCACAGCCCAAACCACTGCACCGTCAGCCACGGAGCCGGAGTTCCGGCTGTTCCGTAGGATTGGGGAGAGATTGTTAAATTCTCAGGAGCGCACTCCCTGAACTCGTGGTGCTGTGAGCGAGGGTCTGGGCGGGTTCGGACTGTTTTCTCATGTCTCCCACAAGCCTCCGAATTATCCGTGCTTCCGCTGGGAGGGGCCGGTCTGTGCCCAGCGCTTACCACTCTTGTGATGTATTATTTACGCCTCCCGCTCGTTCTAAAACGGCTGGAGCTGTTTCTCTGCGTGACAAGGAGGCTGCTCTTGAGTTTGCAGGGAAGGGGAACGCTGCCTCTACCCTTTGGTCTCACTGCCCGGCCGCGGATCAGCCCGTGATAGATCAACGGGAAACCATTTAACCGACGGCGTTCCTCTCAGAGGCTCAGGCAGGCAGGCCTCACCGCCAGCGAAGAGGCTGGGAACGCGGCTGGCTGGGCTGGAGGGGGCGCTGCGGGGGGGCAGGGGACGTGTAATAAGCAGGGTGGGTTAGAGCAGGGCTCGGCGGCCAGTGGCTGTGGACCACGGGTGGCCGTGGGGTCTGGAGGGCTGGCGGCCGCTGGGTTAGGGGCTGGCTCGGTCCGAGAGCGGACACAGCGTTGCAGAAGGGAGCGGACAGCCGATGCTGGAACCAGGGGAGCAGAGGCCAGCTGCCTTCAGAACAGCCCTTCAGCCGGGGGGCGGGCTGTGGGCGGCCAACTCTGTCCCCTTCCAGTTCTTCGTTTGCAGCTTCACTGCCCAGAGTGTCGCACGTGTCCCCGGCTCCCCCTCCCCCCCACCTGCCCCCGCCCCGCTGTCACTGTGCTTATGGCTGGGCAGTGCTGTGCGCACGGGGTCTTGGGTTGGTCCTTCCTGTCTGCTGAGACTCGTCTGTCTGTCCCGTGTCCGTGCCTCTGTTTCTGTTTTGTTCATCAGCTTATTGTTCATGAGGTTCCACCTGTGAGTGAGATCGTGGGGTACGTGTCTTTCTCTGCCTGGCTTATTTCACTCAGCACAATGCTCTCCAGGTCCCTCCGGGCTGCCTCACAGGGCGAGAGCTCCTTCTTTTTCCAGCTGCGTAGTGCTCCATGGTGTGCACGTATCACAGCTTTTTCATCCACTCATCTGCTGAGGTAGGCTGTTTTCAGATCTCGTTATCAGCTATAAACATAAGGGAGCATATATCCTTTCTGATTGGTGCTTGGGTTTCTCAGGATGAATTCCCAGAAGTGGGCTCACTGGGTCAAATGACAGTCCATGTTTAATTTTTGGAGGAAACTCCATGCTATACCTATGGTTTGAGGTTGGATATAAAGCACACCACCCTGGTATGGAACATACTGCCCTGACGTGGACAGAGACAAGAATAGAGGATTCGAGAATACTCAGCCAGTGAGGCTCAGTGGCTGAGCACCAACCCATGACCTGGGCGGTCACGGTTGGATTCCCGGTCAGGGCACAGCCCAGGTGGCAGGCTGGATCCCAGCTGACTGACAACTTCCTCTCAGCAATGTTTCCAGCTCCTCTCCCTGCCTCTCTCTCTCAAACGTCAATGAAACATAAGCTATGTCAGAGCACCCGGGGTCGCTCAGCTCTTCCCATCCTCCGGTGCCGGCTGCCCGCGGGGACCAGCACGAGGCCTCCCTCCCTCCTCACCGCTGCCCTGGCGTCCGGGTGGTGTCCGCCCTGAGATGGCGCGGACTGTCCCGGAGAACGGGCCTTTGTCTGCCCGGCGGCGGCGGCGGCGGCGAGCCAGCTGCGCTGTGTAAGGAGCTCTGTCGGCGCCGCGGGGCTCTGCACCAGCAGTCACACGTGTGCTGGAGGCTCAGGAGGGCTGGCCAGCGCTGCCTGTCACCCCAACTCCTGGGGTCTCCTGGGTCCCACTAGCAGCCCAGCCCGTAGCTAAAGGCCCGAGGCCCGGGGGCCTCTGCCCGGGGCTGGCGAGACCCCCAGGTGCCCAGCACTGACCCCTGGGCCGGGCCCAGCAGTAAGGAGCCTCCCGGGTACCCCTCCCAACTGCAGGCGCGCTCGTGATGAGCCCTCGCCCCCTTCCTAACTTGTCTGGCCTCTGCAGCGGCCGCTCCCAGGACCGTGCCTGCTCCCAGGACGGTTCAGTGCACTTGGAACTGGGGTTCGGTGCAGTTGGGAGCTTCCTTCTCCCGCCCGCCAGAGAAAGCCAGCCAGGCACTCAGCCGCCCTTCCTCTCTGCGCGCACGTCTCCGTACCTCAGTCCTTCACAGCTTCTCTGATTCTCCGTGAGCTTTTTTCTTTCCTTCTAGTTATAGAATTTCCACTCAGCCAGCTTTCTTGTGGTTCTGGATGATTTCTGTTCTTTTAGTTGTAATTTTGAAATGGTTGTGTGAAGCAGCAGTTTAGGTGTTTACCTATGCCGCCATCTTGGTTTCTCTCAATAAAGACTTTCAAAAAAATGGTATACTGTGGCGTTTGTCTGCCCGGCTTGTAGTACTTGTGTAAAACCCCTGCTGAGTGAGAAAGTTCAAACACAAGCCCCGCCAGTACTCACAGGAAGTGAAGGTGCCACAGCTGAGCTGTCAGCAAGCGCATCTGTGCCCCGGGAACTTCCTTCAGGGCCGGCGGCAAGAACGGCCCGGAGCCCAGCACGGTCGGTCCCAGTGGCCACAGGGAATCGAAGCTAGGAGAGTCGGACTGTGTTTTCCGTGTCATCAGCTTTTCAAGATCTTGGACCAATGTTTTCCTCTTGGGCCACTGGCCACTCCCCTGAGCTCTTGTCCTTGTTTCTGTCCTTGATGAGACAGAGCAGTCATCTGCTCACCTGGAGGACGTGTGCGCTAAGGGCTAAGGCTGTGCCCACCGCTGTGTGCTGGCGCCGTGTCTGCGCCCACGCCTTCACCATGAAACTCCTTTCTCTCGACAGGCAGACCCCACGTGAAGCGGGGAAGGAGCGCGATCAGGTGGCGGGGGAGCGAATGTCAGCATCCTGTGGACGGGAGCTCCCTAAGATGCTGCTGAGGTAGCCAGGCCTCGAGTCGCCGTCCACGCAACATGGGCTGCATGAAGTCCAAGCAGGCCTTCCCGTTCCCCACCACCATCGAGAGGAGTGCGCCCACCGAGGGGAGTGCGCCATTCGAGAGGTGTGAGCGGTGGGCGCCGTCACCAGTCACCAAGGAAGTGGAGGAAGTGGAGGAGGTGGAGGAGGTGGTGGAGGTGGAGGAGGAGGTGCAGGAGGCGGAGAAGGTGGAGGAGGAGGAGGTGCAGGAGGTGAAGGAACCCGCAGGGCCCAAAATCGTGGTGAGCCAGTTCGCGAACCGCCTGTCGCACGAGATCCTGAGCGGCGCCCTGCAGCAGTGGGTGGACAGCAACGCCAAGTACGCGGACATCCCCTTCATCGAGAGCGAGGGCCTCTGCGCAGCCCAGCGGTGACACCGGTGCGACCGCGGGCAGAGTCGGTGCTAGTTTACTTACTGAACCAGAGCAAAGCGTTGTATGAATAAACACGTGAGACTCCGTGCCACGTCAAGGCCAGTCCGTGACGACAGCAGCAGGAGGGCCCTGGTGGAAGGTGGCAGCCGCGGGCCCTCTCTGCGTGGTGGGGGTCAGGTGGGGAGGGCCAGCCACAGGCCTGTGGTCCTGCCGCCCCAGAGCGCCCAGTGCAGCCCCGTGTCCGGCACAGGGCGGCATCGCCAACAAGTGAAAGTGCATCGTGCCCAGGCCCAGGCGGCGGAGACGCCCTGAAATCACGAACACCTGCTGCTCACTTACCCAACCCCCCACGGCAGGGAGAGGATGGTTCTGGGAACGCCCTGGCAACGGTGGTGCTCACATCACGGTGGTCAGCGGTCAGCCGCGTGGCCGAGGACGCCCGTGTCTCACCAGCACCCGCGTGAGGAGGCAGCTCCCCGGGAAGCCTGGCCGGGCTCGGCGGGCGTCATGTCCACCAAAGGCTGCGGCTGACCCCGTCAGGGCGCACACCTCGGCTGTGGGTTCAGTCCCTTCCCCTTCTTCCTCTCTGAGAATAGAAGCCTCCTGGAGCGAGGGCCAGAGAGACAAGATGCTGGGCTTCCACCTGCGACACGCTTCGTCCCGAACCTCAGGGCCCTCGGCCGCCGGGGGCAGGTCCGGAGACGCGCTGCCCAGGTCCTGGCTCACGTTCCGGGCACGGAGCCACGCGCCGCGGACAGAGCGCACAGGACCAGCCGGGCCTTCGAGAGGCGGCCGCTGGGGGCCGGGCGGTGCTGTGCGCCTCTGGCTTCTCCTAAAGGATCAGGCGTGTGAGAGCCGGTGACACGCTGAGGGGACGGCCTTTCCGGACCGGCCCGGGAGGCCCTCGTGGGTCCCAGGGGCTGGTCTCACGGAGCCTCAGGAGGGAGAGGCTGTGGCTCCGGAGAGGAATCCCCACGGCGGCCAGTGGGCCCCCTCACCCACAGCCGCGCTGAGCGCCGGCCGGGCTCAGGGTCTGGTGGCGTGGGCAGAGGTCTGTGACGGCGTGACGGGCCACCCCACTGCCCGGGTCGCCATCACTCACCCGCCTGCCCCGGCCCCAACCCCCCCCTGCAGCCAGGAAGCCCACGGAGACCAGGAGCTGCGTCCGGGCTGTGCAGAGCCGTCCTGCCCGCAGGGTCCCCGGAGGACGGTGAGGCTCCGAGTGTCCCCACCGGCCAGAGGAAAGCCAGGAGCTGCCGTTTCCCTCCTCCATTGCCTCCAGACCCCGCGCACAGGCCATTCGCCGAAGGATGTTACCCAGACACACGCTCTGAGAACAGAGCCCCCGGCACAGCAACAGCGCACAGTGCACAGCGCACCGAGGCCCGCTGCGGGCTGGGCGCCTGCCCCCGCCCCGCCCCTCCCCGCCCGGCGTACGGGAGAGCCACCGGTCCCTGCTGCCGTGTGACCTCTGCGCGGTGCCACCTCCGGCCACGGCCGCGCACCCAGGCTACTGGGCGCCGCCCGCCATACGCAGCCCCTGGGGGATGCCCTGCACCCGGCCGCCCGGGGGTGGGAGGGAGAAGGGGCTGCGGCTGGCCAGGCCCAGGAGGGCACCGCGTCGGAGCAGCGGGAGGGGCGGCAGACAGGTGGAGGTGCCCCTGGTGGGCACCAACAAGGCGCGTGAGACCCTCTGGAAGAGGGCAGTTCAGGCTCCTTCAGACCCTCACCCTTCAATGTTAGCTTACTTCCCTGTGACGGGAGAGGGCTGCCTGAGAGGGGCCACACACCAGGGACCGGTCACTGAAGAGGGAACATCTGCTCCAGCCGGTGGCACGCCAGTGAGGGGCGGGGAGCGGGCAGAGTGTGAGATCAGGTGGCACGCCAGTGAGGGGCGGGGAGCGGGCAGAGTGTGAGATCAGGTGGCACCCCAGTGAGGGGCGGGGAGCGGGCAGAGTGTGAGCAGCACGGGCGCCAGCTCCCAGTGTCCCCTGAGGACAGGCCAGTGCCCCCCGGCCCCGGCCCGGGGCCAGCCTGACACATCAGAAGGGAGGACACATTACAGACCCACTAGCAGTCCCTCAGACGAGCCCTGACACAGCTTCCTGCCTCCCCACTGTGACCGCGGCCAGGCCCGCTCAGAGGCACTCTGACTTCTTTGGCAGAACTCAGTGTTACCGGCCAGGTCTCCCTGAGAGCCCTCGCTAGGAAATGGAGTATTTTTTCCAGGTATTTTTGTGGGAACACTTTAGAACTATACAATAAAAGTCTAGTTGCACTAACACTGTGAGTTCTGACTTGATTTCAGTAAGCAGATGTGTTTAGCACACACACTTTAACGCCGAGGCCTCCGTATTTCCTGCTTTTCTCAGGCACACTGAGAGAAGCACTAACGCACGGCTGCGGGGCTGCACGGGGCCACGGAGCGCTGAGAGCAGGGTGTCAGCGCGCTTCCTGTCGTGGCGCCTTCATCCCCACTCTGTCCTCAGGCTCCTGGGAGGTCCTTCCTGCCTCACTGAGAACAGAACTCAGTTCCAGCCGCACTCCCCGCCTGTGGAAGGTCCAGGATAAAGCCTTGGGTGTCATTTTCAGTCCACCGCTCTGCTTTACAAATATACATGCTACATACATGTTAATTTCAGGGAGGAAGGGGGAGAGAGAAACATCAATGATGCGAGAGAATCGAGGATCAGCTGCCACTTCCTACCACCCTGGAATCCGCGGGGGTTCCTGCCGAAGGAAAAACTGGACGCACTACAACGTGAGCAGCGGCAGATCTTAACATCGTTCCCACCTACACTCCAGGCCCCGAGCCTGGAGCCCCGGGCACCTGCCTCGTCAGCCGGCCAGTTCTGAGGGGGTTCGATTCTGAGTGAAGCCCGAGCTCACTGCTCCCTCCCCACTGCACCGCACAAGGACCCACGCAGGGCCCACATGGACGCTGGACGCCAACTGCAGGCAGCGGGCAGCTCCATCCTGGAGTCTGGACTCCCCAGCTCCCACCTGCCGGCCAGCGGGTACCGTGGGGGCAGTGAGCCCGCTCTCCCCGGGGAGGGCCAGCGAGTACTGCGGGGGCAGTGAGCCCACTCTCCTGGGGAGGGGGGAAGGGAAGGAGGAGCGGGCATTGAGAGGGAAGGGATGGTCGCCTCCGTGCCCCAGGACGGGGAGGGTTAACTGTAGAAAACGCAGAGCTGAGTTAATAATACGGGGGAGGCAACTTCATGAAAGCCTTTCTCTCTGCCGAGGCTTCTGATGCTATAAAAAGAGCGTTTCTGTTACAGTCCCTCAGTCATCTTTAAAATAGCCTCACCACGGCGGAAAGTCTAGGAAGCATTAACACAGAGTCCAAAAAATGTGTTTTATTTTGATCATCTGTACATAAATTTACTTAATCAACATACAAGCGCCTGCAGACCCTGAGACGCAAGCTCCCAGCTCCCAGGCGGGCGCCCTCTGCAGAGGGCGGAGTGACCCGAGGGGACGTGCACACAGCGAGGCCAGCTGTGCCCCATGCCTTCACCTGCGGCCGCGGACGGCTCATGAAGTGCCAGCTCTGTCCTTCCCCACGGGGCCAGCGGACGCCCCGCTCGCAGGCATGGGAAGGGGCAGCGGCCAGACTGGGCCCGGGCCGTTGGCCAGCCTCGGTCCCAGAGCACCTCCCGGCGGCGCTTCACCACCTTCACCACCGCAGGTCGCTGCTCCCCAGAGGCCTGAAGTGCCGGCTCACGTCCTCCTCGGTCACGTCCGCCAGGCGGGCCGGCTCCCAGCGCGGGCTCTGGTCTTTGTCTATCAGCACTGAGGGGAGAGGGAGTCAGGTCACTGCTCCTGTCCCAGGTCCCAGGTCCCATCACCGAGCACCAGCCCTGCGGTGCCAGGCGTGGCTGTCCACGGAGTGGGAGTGTCTGTTCCTCTAAAAGCGGGGCCCACAGATCCCGGAGGGGCACCGTGCCGAGGAGGACGTGGCAGCCGCCAGCCGGGCCTCCCGCCGCAGACCAGGGCCGGGCTGGAACCCGTCCTCCACAGGCGGAGCCGGGAAGGGCCTCCTGCTGTGAAGCAGGGCCAGCGGGGGCTGAGGGGGCTGCCTGAGGTGAGGGGAGAGGAAGGGGCTCATGCCTGACCCAGCGTGGACCCTGCCTCCTGTGGCCGAGTCCGAACACGACCATCACCGGCATCATGAGAAGCCCCCCCATGGGTGCTGTCACCGGAGGGCGCCGGCAGGCCCAGGGGATGAGCGAGGCCATCTGCACAGGCCCTGCGGGTGCCAGCTTCCTGCTGACTCCGTGGCAGGCGCTGCCACGTGGGGACGGCCGGGCAGGCAGGCCTGTGCTCCTCACGCTGCATGGGAAGTGACAGTTGTCACAAAGCTGGGGTGGGGGGGAGGGGACAGGGGGGCTGCATGCACATGGCTGTGGCGGGCATGTGAGCCATGCTAAGACGTGCACAGACCCTGTGAAGAGGGAGTGCACCAACATACAAACTGCGGGAACTAGACAGTGCCTTTGGGTTAAAGGTAAATGGTTAGAGCAGCCATCTGGGATCAAGGGAGCAGGCTGAGGGGGCGGGGGAAGGGGGGGCATCATTAAACACGGGCTGGGCTCCGTTTGGCTGCCTGACTGCGGGCCCCGCGTCAGCACGGACAGTGAGGGTGCTGAGCATGACGTCACCATCCCAGCCGACCTCCCTGGGACATGCTTCCCGCCAGGCCCCGGCCTCGGCCAATGCTGTCTGCCGCCCGGTCCCCTCCAGGCACAGGACAGAGTAAGAGCTTGGAGTCCATCTCATTCCCGAGGAGCAGACCTGTCACTGCAGACGCAGCAGCCTGCATGGCTCCTCTGCCCGCAGCTCGCTGCGCTGCAGAACGACCTGCTTCCTTCCCTCACACCCGGGAGCCGGTGGCTCCAGATGCTGACGGCAAACACCTGACAGCCACTCCCCTCGTTTGCTTACTCTGATGGCATATTTTATAGTTAGCAGATTAACGCAAACATTTAGTTATGCAAAACACCAAGCAGTTCTCCTGAGCATAGGTGCTCCTTTCTGAATGAAAAGGTTACGCTGGGAAAGGAGGGCCTATCCTTTCTCTTTAGTAAAAGGCAGACAAATAAAACCTGCATTATAACCAGAATTTAATGCTGCTCAGCTTCAATGCTTTTTCCTTAGAATCACTGAGTGTATCTGAAACAACGCCTGTCTTTTTAAGTTTAAGAAGGGCTGCTCACATGAAATGAAGGCTTGGCAGCATAACCCAAGCGCCACAGACCCTCCTCACACCAGAAGCCTGGCTCTGACCCGCCCTGGGAATTGGGGGGATGCCATTTCACTCGGCTTCTGTACGACCTAGCACCTCCTCCAGCTCAGCCCTGCGCCTGGTCACTGCGCTCCGCTGTCAGGACGCAAGCTCAGACAGTTCCACCAGCGCACCGTGCTCACCGAGGCCCCAGCTCCGAGAGCACAGCCCGTCAGCCAGGGCAGCCCATCTCACCACGAGAGCGGTCAGTAAAAACACGAGAATCAGATGTGCAAAGTGCACACAGAGGGAAACTCACAGGAGTAACCGCTATGGTTTTTAGGGACATGGCATGTGCATCAAATTATTGCAAATGTGCTAGAATTGGGGGAAAAAAATCAACCATTTGCTTCTTCTAATTATACTGGCTTTGAAGATGATAAGCAAAAACAGGAATAAATAAAAACACTCACATATTTTCTAATTATGTCAGGAGGGAGAAGGGAGGGGAGAGAAGCAAGGAGGGGAGGAGGGAAGGAGAGGGGAGGGGAGGGCAGGGAAGGACGGGAGGGAGGGGAGGGAGAAGGGAAGGGAGAGGGCAGGGACTGAGGGCTTGATGTGGAATAAACGCACCTCTCTGAGCTTCAGCAGCAGAATGAGTGACAAGCTCACACTGCCTCTGCCTGGGCCTTTAAAAGCAGGTGACCTCTTACATATCAGTGAGGGAGCAGTGAGCAGGTCGTGTAAATTTTTAAAGCAATATCGGATGCAATGACTTATCTCCCCATGTGCCCGTTGGTAATTTTAACTCTTTGCAATCTGTACAAAAGCCTAGTTCTCACTAATAAGACAGCAGCCATCTCGGACACACAGTGTGCGCTCCCAGGAGAGCCAAAGGAGCTGCCACTCACCTGCCCTGACGCCTTCGGGAAAGTCATGGCCTCCCTGGAAGAGGAGAGGAGGGAGAGCTGGTGAGGCCCTTGCCCCTGGCACACTCCCCCGCTGAGCTCCCCCTCCCAGGCCACTGCCTGCCCACAGCATCGGCGACGGACCGACCACCCCCCCCCACACACACACACACCCCCACTGCCCCAGTGTCTCCGCACCCCCGAGGGGTTCAGTTTTCCGTGGATGGCTCCGTCCTGGGCATGCTCTGCAATGACCACACGCTAGCTCGCAGCATCAAACGCTAACACTCGGCCGATTCTCACCACACACGCTTGGCTCAGCCGGTACTCCATGGTCAGCACGTCCTGCAGGGACTTGGAGGAGCCCTCTGTGAGCTGCCGCAGCGTGATCTTGAGCGACGTTGGAGACATCTTACTGATCACCTGTTAGGGAAGCGTCTGCTAGTTTCAGACCACAGTTCCTTTACTGTCTGTGGCAAACAGCTGAGCGTCGGTATACGCGGTGTTGTGTGCTCCCTCACACAGCACCCTCAGGTGGCAGTCCCAGCAGCGTGCGGCTCCCCTCGGCTAATCCTGTCCGCGCCAAGAGAGGTTTTCTAACCCATGGCCACCAGCAGATTCCTCTCCAATGGGGAAGGGCTCGTGGGAGGGCCACTCAGCATTGTGCATGTGTCACCCCTGGGAACGCTGAAACCACACGTGTGTTTAACGGTCAGTGAGAATGCTGAGGACATGCTGTCTCCCGTCAATCCTGGACAGAGGGACCCTGAGCTGTAAGGAGGTGGCTGCCCCTTGGCACACGGACACGGCTACGCCCCTGGGCCCGGAGACGCCGGGGCGAGGAGCCAGCGAGAGGCTCTCGGGGACAAACACAGACCCTCTTAAGGTCTGCCACACCCTCTCGTCTGCAGACGCTTCACCCACACCAACGGCTCTTCTGCAGGGCCTGGGTGTTCCTGCTCCTCAGCCAGGAAGCCTCCTCGGGGTCTGATCCCACCCACGTCACGTCACGTCACGTCACTCCGGAGCCACGCTCCTTCCCCGAGCTGCAGGTGGCGAGTGGGAAGGAAACCCACATTCCGTGAGTGTATGTCCCTGCTCTGCGTGGGGGCGATCACAGCCAGAGGAACAGAGGGCCGCCGGGGGCGTCCAGCCCCCGGCCGGGGCGGGGTGCTTGTAAGGGGGGTGCCACTGAACTTCTGTGCTGCTGAAAGGCACCCCGTGCTGCGTGGCTGCTGTCACGAGGAATTGCTAAGTGCACACTTAGCCACGCGCTAAGAACAATACCAGGAATGCCAGTTCCTACATTGCTCTGAAACAGAGAACCAACTGAAGTCACTATCCTTGAAATAGGAAATGATCGCCTCCATTTATGCAAACATTCCTAAAAGCTTCAAAAACGTGAGTGACCTTTGTGGTGAGGGAGGGAGACAGCTGTCCGCCTGCTGAGGGGCCTGTGTGTCTAAAGCCTGAGAGCCCAGGGCCTACCCTCCGCACTCACACAGAGAGCGCCTCCTGCTGTCAGTCGCCAGCTGGCCGGCTGCTCCCTCCCTGAGGAACTGCCTGGGGCGGAGGGGGCGCTTGGCATGGCTGGACAGGGGCCTCCTGCTGGCTTAACCAGCTAACTGCCACGCGTCCAAAGTGGACACCATCCCCACACGCCATAATGTTTTGAATTAAAAAAATCAATTGGCAATGAATATTATAAAAATAGATTATAGTTACTCATAATTCTGGACAGAAAGGGGCCCTGAAAAATTTTCAGCTGAAAATTCTCACGAAAAATGATTTTACAGTTGGTCAGGGCTGCCACTTGGGGAAAACTGTTTTTCACAGACACGCGTGGTGTGTGGGGAAGGCCCCCTGCTGGCGTCTACAGGTGTTATGGCGTACAATAGTTTAGAAAGGTTTCTTCTTTTTTTTAATGAAACCTCCTGCTTACAAAGACCATGTACTGAGCTGCTGCTCCTTAGACAAACTTACAGGCCAATGTCACGGCTGCAAGGTGACCGTCTGTGTTGCCCCACCTTCTAATACCCATGTCCCTCGTGCTTCCCGGACAGGAGGACCCTGGAGGGGAAGCGTGCCGCCTGGGGCCCCCGGGACGGCCACGGGCTGCCTTTGGCATCGGGTTTGGGTGAGGTTTCATGGGAACAGCAACAACGTGCTCTGCCTGGCCCCCGGGAGGCCCCTGCCCCAAGCACCCACCACACTCCGGCAGAAGTGCCCCTGGCTTTACCTTCACCTGCTCTAGGGCAAAGGGCGAGCCATCTCGCTGTAGATTGTCGATAATCTGCTCCACGCTGTCAGCGGAGAAGCAGCTGCAGGGAAGACAGGGACGGCACCTGTGAGAGCCCTTCCTCCTGACGGCCAGGGGCCCGGGCACAGCTCCCCCCACAGGCGGGGGAGAGACACTGCTCTCCTCCGGCAACGCACAGGGTCTCCTTTTCTACTTGGGTCCTGCGTCTGTTACTGTAAGTAAACGATAGCCACACTGGGAGAGTGTGCTTCTAACTGCAGAGACGGCTGTCCCATCTCCAGTAGTTTCCCTCCGCTGTCCTCTCCCAGCCCTCACTAACCCTGGCCGAGGGGCTTGGCACGTCAGGCCTCAGGGAAGACGGCGTTACAAAGATAAAGGGAAGTGAATGCGGTGGTTTCCAGCCTCTCTTCCCACTTAAAGGCGGGCGGGGCGGCAGATCGCCCGAATGCCATGGCCTGGCTGCCCCACGAGAGGCCACGAAGCTGTCGTCACAGGTCAGTGAGTGACGGCTCTGTGCTGCCAACTGCAGAATCAGGCGCGTGCTCAGCAGGACGGAACCCATCACAGGGCCCCGGCAGCCCGGGAGCAGGAGGGCCCGGCCTGAGTACCTGTTGATCGTGCCCAGGTGCTCCTCCAGCACGAACGCCTTGTCCTCATCAATCTTGGACTGTTCGAAAAGAAAAACACTGACGTTAATTTGAAGTAACTCAAATCTTTTAAAAATCCTGCATCTGTGCATATTTAACGACACACTGAGTGACCCGCTTTCAGTCCCATTACCCCCACGGGCTCCTGCCTGCTGCCCGTGTGTGCAAAAGCCAGACCGTGTCCATGCCAGGCCAGCACCTGACAGGGTCTAAGGTGTCCCCGTGTTTTTATTTCCCGTCACCTACGGGGCACATGACCGTTAAGCGTGTCAGGAAGTTCAAGAACCGCAAGGACCTGGGAAGTCCTGCCCATCCCCACGGGAAGCAGGCACCCGCCAGCTGCCAGCAGCCGCAGAGGTAAGGCCCGGGCAGCTGCGGTTAGAACTGGCTTTAATTCTGGGCCACAAGCAAGTCCTCGTGTTTCCAGCTCTCATTTACCCTCCCCGCTTCCTCGCTCCTCACACACGGCAGCGTGGACTCCTCACAGCCTGGGCCCCTCTCATGCACACGTTCCCCTCCATCAAGGTCACTCTTTTTTCTTTAATAAGTGTCCATTGATTTTAGCGAGAGGAAGGGAGAGGGAGAGAGAGAAAAACACATGATGAGAAACATCCATCGCTGCCTCCTGCATGCCTTCTCCTGGGGATCAAGCCCGACACCGGGCACGGGCCCCGACCAGGGGTGGAACGGGTGACCTCCTGGTGCGGGATCTGCCCCACCGTGAGCCACACCGGCCGGGCTCCAGTCCTCCTTAGCGGGTGGACAAGACCTTCGCTGTAGGCGTGCTGAGCCGTGACACAGCACCGCGTCAATGAGGGGACTCGGCCACAGCACTGCGTCAATGTGGGGACTCGGCCACAGCACTGTGTCAATGAGGGGACTCGGCCACAGCACTGCGTCAATGAGGGGACTTTGGGAAGCCTGAGGGACGGAGGACTGGCTGCCAGGGGAACCGACCTGGGATGAGAGCTGGAACTCTCCGTCCCCGTCCCCCGGCCCCATAGCTCTGCAAACCCTCTGTGCTCTCTAGCAGGCTGCGCACACTCATTAACCCACACACCACAGCGCTCACCGGCCACTCCTCAGGCCCTTGCCCTACAACAGAATTAAACGTGAGGTTAGGACGCTGACAAGCTTACCTTTGTCTGATAACTTTCTAAGACATCTGCAATGTTTTCTGTGGAAGGAGATTTCAGGGATAACAGATCTTCTTCTAACAGGCTCAACTAAAGGTAAAAAATAACAATAATAAGGTAAAAAAGTAACAGTAACGGAGGTGCCAGAGCGGAGAGAATCTGCAGCTGCAGCCAATGTGCTGGCCCTCACAGCCACGCAGAGGGACCTTCAACTCTGTGTGCTTTTCATTTATGTAACATCCCTTCCCCTCCCCCTTCCCCAAACACCTCCTTCCCCGCCCCCCCTCCCCCCGACTACCACGTGCTCCCTGAGGAGCCTGGTCCCACGGTCCCGGGAAGCGCTGGTGGGATGAGCTGGTCGGCTCCTCTGCCCCCGGCTCAGTGCCATCCGCCAACCCAGGGGGGCTCAGCCAGGTGTCCCAGAACAAACCCAAACCTCTTGCTCGGATTTCTGAGGCAAAATCGCCGTGAATTGGGTTTTCTGTTACATCTAACACAAGTAGTTTCAACTACTATGGTGAGGCTGCCCCCACTTCGGAGATGGGAAAACGGGGCTTGGGAGTGGGGTGGGAGTAACCCTGGCTGCTGGCTCTCTGTTCCTGGCCACTGTGCTAAGGAAACTGGCAATGCTGTTTTTAAAAAAGACAAAGCAAAGTTACACGTTAGGCCAAGTGTGTAAGACCATATTGTATACATGTACCTTTTAATGCATCAGGGACACTGACAACCAAGAGAACCCTTCAAAAACCTATAACAGCCTAAACCAGTGTGGCTCAGTGGATAGAGCGTCAGTCTGCAGACTGAAAGGTCCCAGGTTCGATTCCGGTTGGTTGTGGGCACATCCCAGTAAGGGGTGTGCAAGAGGCACTGATCGATGATTCTCTCTCATCGATGTTTCTAACTCTCTGTCCCTCTCTCTTCCTCTCTGTAAAAACTCAATAAAATATATTTTAAAAAACAAAAAAACAAAAAACCCTGTAACAATGAAAGCGTGATAGGCTAATTAGACGGGTCAGCCGCACGACCTTCCAGACGAAGCGGGGCTGGGACGACTGAGGCCCTTGCGCGACTTTCATGCAGCGGCCTCCAGTGTTTTTAGAAAATAAAGGCCTACCGTTGTTTATGCAACTTTAGATTTTTATACGTTAGGCTTTCTTAAAATAGATTTCTGTACAAACCGTAATAATTCGTTTAAAACTATAACAGGACGTGCCAGGCAAGACCGCTCTGAATCCAGACCCAGTGCCTGCATCCGTGCGAGGAGCCAGGCGGGTCGGAGACTTCCCTGCGGTCACAGAGCGTAAGCAGGAGGCCCGGGCTCACCAAAGCCAAGGACCGCGCCCACCGCCTGCCCCGGGAGAGTTCTTCCAGCAGCACAAGATGCACGTCCCGCTCTCACCTTTTCCGAGTCTACAAAGTGAGTGGCGATGCCTGCTCGGTGCACATCTCTGCCTTTCAGCCTGAACCCTGTCAATGCCAGGAAGTAACCAAGTCTCCCTGGAAGTCTTGGCAAGAAATAGCCTCCGCCCACGTCAGGGAACAGTCCTGAAATGAGATAACAGAGACGCCGGGCTCGCAGGGAGGCGATGCATGGAACGTCCTTCGCTTTAGGCGGGCTGGCACTGAGGAAAGCACTCGAGGGAGGACCTGCTGTGGCTGGGCAAGGCCAAAGCGGGTACACAGCCTGGCCCGTGTGCCATGTCTAGCATCCAATTAAAAACCGCCAGGCATCTTAAAAAGCAGGAAAATGCTGCCCATAGAGAGGTGATAAAACAATCAATCAAAATGGAGTCAGAACCTCCCGCTGGCCACTCAGCTGTCAGAGCACCGTCCAGTCTATTAGCATAAAGCTGTTCACATATTCCGTTTCCTAGCAGTCCAGATTACACTGTTATTGAAGGAATTAATGAACTCTTATGTGATGCACAGCGTGGTCAAAATAAGTTGAAATAACGTAATTATGAAAATGTGGGTTTGTTTACCGATTGCAGTTTCTGGCATTGCAAAGAGACATTTTTCAGTAGCCACTCGGAAACGCCCGTGAACGGAGAGTCCGACTCCCTAGGAAATAAGCCAAACATGTTTTGAAACACTGTAAGAGGATAAAACAAATGCATCCACTCAGAGTATTATAAACCAATAATCCTCTTTTCATCCCACAAGAACTGCTTCCAGGAGACGGCCTGACAGGAAGCCCTAACCCACAACCTCAGGAGACGGCTGGGTGGCCAGTGCACGGCCCCCCGGGTCTGCAATAGGTTTGTTTAGCGGAGATGTTCTCACTCCCACTCCGAACGGAAGGCCTCTGGAGCTGTGACTACCCGGAACCCGAGTGCTCTTCATGGCACCAGCCGTCAGAAACACAACTATTCCAGGAAGCGCCCGCAGCTTTAAGGACAATGTGAGCACATCTTACTATGTCGTAAGCTCCATCAGTAAAATCAGCAGAATCACTTTTCTCAGCTGCCATGGGGCCAAGCATGTAACCCTTGAGAACGGTTACTAAGACACACGTTTAGAAAGTGAAAAGGCTGGCTGCAAGCCTCTGACTCGAGTGTCACTGAGAAGGGCACCTTAACAGGCATCTCTGAATAAAATGAGTAAAGAGTATACATGTGATGACAAAGTATCAGAATTTATGTCAGTGTTCACACTGTAACATACAATACCCATGTTACATCCTTTTTACATTGTTCAAAACTCCCATTAGATTTAGTTCTCACTCTGAATCCTTTCTAACCAATGTACCTGTCTTTGACATCACACAGTTGAGTTAAAACATGTAAATTATCTGAACCAATGTCAAGTACTAGAGTTCTGTAAGTGTGAACTCATTGGAAAGAGCCTCATTTCTGATTATTCTAACTTTTCATTACATTTCCTCAGTTCAAGTTCAGCCATTTAAAAGCTCTTAAAACTTTTAGACCTTTTTCAGAAAATATTAAAAAACACATGCAATTTCCTATAAATTCTATGTACTACATGCCAACCTTATATTTTAAAAGACAATAGAAATGAATAAAATCCTTCAGTTATTACCTATATCCTTCGATGTCAACATTTATGTAGTCAGTCACAATGTTTGACACTCTCTATAAAGGCCAATATCATGTTATAGGTGTTCTATTAAGCTAGACACCTAAGCTAGAGAACCACCATCCTTCGGAGCCGCCTGAAATATGGCTGAGTGGATGTCCTACAGCTAGGGACTGAAAGCACAGCCACCCCAGGCTGGTAGGAGGGCAGACACGCAGTGCTGGCCGCTCCCACACCCACGTGTGGTGAATAATGGGAGAGATGTCTTGGCTGCAGAGGTCTACCCTGAGAGCAAGGGGTCCCTGGCCCACACCATACTGCCGCCTAGGATTCCAGGACTGGGAAGAGACGTCCCATAGCCTCTGGCTGTAAAACCAGTGGGGCTGTGGCTGGTGACACAGAGGCCGCTGGAGTCCCAGGCAGTTCCTCCTAAAGGTCTGAGAGTTTTTAGTTTTTAGTTAATTAAGAGAAAATAATCTTTAGTTATATTATTATTTCTGTCCCAACTATTGGATCGACTCCCTTCTGCCTCCCACTTCTTTAAACCTTTGTCTTTGCTATTGTCAGTGCCATACAATTTACCACTTGGCTAATTATCTTAAGTTTTCTCCAAATCCATGTCAAGTTATTCAAGGCCAGGGCCCTGTAAGACTTCTTTGTAAGAGCTTGGGCTCGAAGTACAGATTTCAGTGACAAGCACGTTTCAGAGGATGTCAGAGAACAGTCACTGAGGGGAGTTAGTGCCACAGACAACCCCAGCCTCAGGGCGAAACACAGGCACAGCCAGGTTCTCGTCCAACGCTGCTGGCAGCAATCCGGTTACTTATTGTAGAAAAGGGCTCTCCATGTCTTAAAAACAAAACTCAGTGAGTTCTATTCGCTAAAAAACTGTTAATTCAGAGCTAACACAGCATCTAACATAAGTAAGACCTTTTTCTTTTGGACGGAGATAGTATAAACGTGAAAGAGTATTGTGTGTGTGTGTGTGTGTGTGTGTGTGTGTGTGTGTGTGTGTATACATATATATACATCTCAAACTTGCAAGGTCTGTAATCCAAACATAACTTTGTTTCAACGAGCTTTACTGTGTTATATTCCTCGCTTCATTTCTGGTTTGTGTGTGTTTTTTAATCATTTTTTTTAGAGAGAGAGAAACATTAATTTGTTGTTCAGTTTATTGATGCATTCATTGGTTGCTTCTTGTATGTGCCCTGACTGAAGACTGAACCTGAAACTTTGGAGTACCAGGACAGTGCTCTAACCAATGACCTACCTGGCCAGGCCCTATTTCTGTTTAATAATTAACTTATTTATAATACAACTCACATAGTAATGATGAGAGTAAAACAGTTTACTTACTCCACCCATTGTAATTCCGTGAATAAATGCAACATACGGTTTCTGACAAGAATCTAAAAGAAAAAGAATTGTAATTAATTACAACGTTTAACATATTTTCCCCCCAAAACAAACAAACAAACAAAAAAAACATTACATGAACTGAATATTTTCCCAAGGAAATTTTTTGCAAGAAATATCAAGGCAGACTAAACATGTGGCCTGTAAAATGTTCTTCTTAAAATGACAACCCAGCCGAAACCGGTTTGGCTCAATGGATAGAGCGTCGGCTTGGGGACTGAAAGGTCCCGGGTTCGATTCCGGTCAAGGGCATGTTCCTTGGTTGTGGGCATATCCCCAGTAGGGGGTGTGCAAGAGGCAGCTAATCGATGACTCTCTCTCATCGATGTTTCTAACTCTCTATCACTCTCTCTTCCTCTCTGTACAAAATAAATAAAATATATTTTTTTTAAATGACAACCCATAAACAATCCTGATCATCTGTTCATTATCATTTAACAACTCAACCCTGCAACTGGGAACAAAGGAAAGCCTTGTTTACCTCAGCTCCTGAGAAACATGACTAACAACGGCCTTACAAGCCCCTGATGTCTATGTACACAGCTGTGTTTTAAAGAACATAACTTGTTTTCTATAGATCTCAAGTAACTGGATACAGAGAAGCGTAGCATAAAGGAAAAAGCACGGACCAGAAGTCAGAGACCCAGATTGTAGTCTCAGCTCCATCATGAACTGCCAACTCAACATACTCAACAGACACACAGCATTAGGCACAAATACACTTACACACACCAGTTCCATGCATATCTATGTGTATATCTTACAGGGTGTCCCAAAAACTGTGTATACACTTCAAACGGTTATAAAGTCAGTGTTTATTAACATACAGTTCATCTTCAAAAGTTACAGAGACTATAGAGATGAGTAATTTTTTTGCTAACACCTGTTTTCAACCTGATGACCATTTTGGTCCAGACACTGATAACGTGAAGCAATGGGGTCGCAGACATAGAGAGTCCTTTCATTCAGCATTGTGTGCCTCAATTTGTCAGCTATCGCCAGTTTTGTACCATAAACTTTATCTTTTATGTATCTCCATAAAGAAGGCCTGGTAGCACTTTAGGATACATTTTCTTTGCTCAAAGCTGAATCAGACTTCAGCCGTTATCTGAAATTGGTTAAACCTAAAAAGGAGTGAAAATTAACTGAGTTACCGGCTGCTGAAGTCTGTATACATATTTCCGGACACCCTCTATATAACACATAGGTAAATCTGTAGTGAAAACCCAGAGTGTGGTCTGGGCGGGTAAACCATGAATTAACCACACCGGTGCTCTGCAGAGGGGTAGCAGCTGCCTCTGGGGCAGACATAGATGACATGCCAGGAAAGCCACAGATGGAGCTGTAATTTTATTATTTTTATTTTATTTTAATAAATCTTTATTGTTCATATTATTACAGATGTTCCTCTTTTTTCCTCCCTCCATTGCTCCCCTCCACCCAATCTTCTGCCCTTTCCCCACCCCCCATTGACCTCATCCATAGATGCACAGTTTATGTTCAGTCTCTTCCCCCATCCCCCTCTCCCCTTTTCCCCGAGAATCGTCAGTTCATTCCCCTTCCATACCTCTGATTCTACTATATTCAACAGTTAATATTGTTCATCAGATTTTTTTTTTAATTTTTTTGGTTTTTAGATTCACTTGTTGATAGTTAAGTATTCGTTGTTCATAGTTTTTATCTTTATTTACTTTCTCTTTCAAAAGAACTCCCTTCAGCAATTCATATAATTCTGGTTTGGTGGTGATGAACTCCTTTAGCTTTTTTTAATTGGCGAAGCTCTTTATCTGGCCTTCGATTCTGAGTGATAGCTTTGCTGGGTATATTATTTTTGGCTGTAGGTTCTTACTATTCATCATCTTGAATTTTTCTTGCCATTCTCGTCTGGCCTGCATGGTTTCTGCTGAAAAATCAGCTGACAATCGTATAGGTGCTCCTTTATAGGTAACTACCTGCTTTGCTCTTGCTGCTTTTAATATTCTCTCTTTGTCATTTGCTCTTGGAATTTTAACTATGATGTGTCTTGGTGGGGTCATCTTTGGATTCCTTTTTTTTGGAGTTCTGTGCGCTTCCCAGACTTGTAAGTCTAATTCTTTCACCAGGTGGGGGAAGTTTTCTGTCACTATTTCTTTCAGTATGTTTTCGATATCTTGCTCTCTCTCATCTTCTGGGACCCCCATAATTCTGATGTTGGTTCGCTTGAAGTTGTACCAGAGGTTTCTTAGATTATCTTCAACTTTCTGGATTCTCTTGCCTTCCTGCTCTGCGGAGGAGTGTCTTCTGGCTCTTTATGTTCCAAATCTTTAATTTTAAAACACGTAGAATCCTACTTCTTCTACATAATTGGTACAACAGCAAGCAAAATGAAGCACTGGTGCCTGAGCCCAGGGCTGGGCCGAACACAGCACTGACTGGATTATCCGCTGGAGTTTAACCTCTAAATCCAGGATCTGAACATCAACTACAGAGACGTCTCATCCCCAAGTTCTCTAGGAATCAGAAAATGATTCCTCACTTTACCCAGAAAACTGGGACCCATGGCTTCTGTTTTCCCAGAAAGCCAGCCCTGTGATCAGAATCGTGTTTTCATTTTGACTGAGTGACAAACGGGTGAGGACAGATAGCCTACTGATAGGAAAGTGTCAGCTGTTCTGGAATGAACAGCCTGAATGGCTTAATCAAATTTACTTATGGCTGACACACAGTATATGAAAGGTTAGTAAGATTATTTGATTACATTTTCAATAATTCATACGTTAACGCGGCTTTTCTTGGTTCCGTTTTCAAAGCTGTCAGCAAAGCACGTACCAATGGCATTGTTCAGCACATACTCTTCTCTGAAGAAATCCCGGCTTATCTTCCTGTCTCCCTTCACCACTTCTGAGATTGTTACAAAAAGAAAGAAAGATTATAAATTTTTTTTAAAGTGTTTTCTAGTCAGTAAAATAAAATAAATTTAAAATATTGTAATACTCAGTACCGGGAAAACTCTAGAAGGATTTGTTAATGTTTTGAAATTGCCCGTGCCACGGATAGGTTATAGTCAGCCCCAGATCCATAGTCCCATGTCAAAATTTCAAAGGAAAATTCTTAAGAACTTCCCACAAAATGTTACACTTAAATGTATAAGTTATATATTGCTACAAAATGCACTTTCTTTTGACTGTTTTCTGTAGCACCTGAATAAACATTTGGTGGATAAACATTTATTTTGGTAGTATATATCTGTTTTTTTAATTTATTGATTTGAGAGAAAGAGAAAAAGAAGAGAGGGAGGAGGGGGAAGAGGAGAGAGAGAGAGGGAGAGAGAGATAGAGGAGACATGGATTTATTGTTCCACTTATTTATGTAATCATTGGTTGACTCTTTTTTTAAAAAATATGTCTTATTGATTTTTTTGCAGAGAGGAAGGGAGAGAGAAACATCGATCAACTGCCTCCTGCACACCCCTCAGTGGGGATGTGCCCGCAATTCTTGACTGGAATCGAACCTGGGACCCTTCAGTCTGCAGGCTGATGCTCTATCCATTGAGCCAAACCGGTTTCGGCAGTTGGTTGACTCTTGTATGTGGTCCTGACCCGGATCGAACTCACAACCCTGGTGCATTGAAACGATACTCTAACCAAAGAAGCTACCTGGCCAGTGGTGACATATGTATCAAGTGTACTGCACATACACACAGAGTGGAATATATTATATATATATATATATATATATATATATATATATATATATATGTGTGTGTGTGTGTGTGTGTGTGTATATATATATATATATATACTCCATCTAATTCAATATTTCTGCCACTTTCTTTTCCCCACACAACATTTACTGAGCATCCACCATGATTACAGCACCATGCACCGTTTTAGGTGCTACAATCATGGGGACAGCGCTATACTGGTAAGACAGTGGCCCGGAGTGCAGCCTGGAGAGAGGACACTGAGACACAGTGTCGGTGCGATGCTCACGTCAAGGCTGGAAAGAGGCTCCCAGAAGACACAGTCTGAGCCAAGTCCGATCAGTCAGAGGGATTTCCCAGAAAGTGACAAGGAGTACTTACAGAGGCACAGAGGCCAGAAGGAACAGAATCAAGAAGGAAGCAGTTGTAAAAGACCGAAGGAGAAACACAGAAGGAGAAGCTAGAGGTCACTGAGAGAGTGAGACCATATTATTAATAATGCAAAAGGAAATCCATCTCCCAAAGGTGCTGCCGCGGCATGCTGCCGCCTGGCGTGACACAGAGGCGCACAGAAAACCCTGAGTCACCAGCACTCCCAGCGGTTTCCTTCCTATGGCAGTCACTGTCACCCCAGCTCCACGCGGCCTTCCCGCATCAGTCACACCACTGAGGCCCCCCCCCCCCTCACTGCAGCACAATGCCCTCTGTGGCGAAGGCTATGAGGATTACCACTGACATACAAATTAAAGGGACAGTGTGTCTCTATATGGGCAAGTCACACAAAAACTGCTGACTATAGTTTTAAACTAACTCCAGCCTCTAATGTGATCTTCCTTTAGCACGCTCCAAAACTGCCTCTTTCCATGGTTCTTGAAGACAGTCTCAACATCTCCGTCATTCTGAAGCTCTCCCAGATTCATGCCCCAAACTCCTCCTCCGTCTGCTCAGTCCCGACCACCACTTGCCATTCTCCCAGGAAAGGAGGGCCCTGCTCTGCATGCTGGACTCCTCTACCTCAAAGATCTTAGGTTTCCTCCTGAGCTTATTCTAATCAATCATTTCCATATAAAATTAATGACCTTCACAATATCACTAAATTTTTCTTTCTGTGTGCCCACTCATTGTTCTGAACTATGATCTTGAAAGAAACTAAATTTCCTGGACTTGAAATCCCTATTTTATTTCATGTAAACTAGACTAATTCTAGAATTTGTAACTGTATTTCCAAACCATAATACAAAAGTTAGGCTTTTATGCAAAAATAGTCTAAAGAAGCTAAAAATCAATACATAAGGCTCCGCCCACCTTTAAACTGACAAGTTAACTACATGAGAATATATTACCTTTTTAAAATTTCTACAAAGTAACCAAACAATGGGGTAGTGGGCAAGCTTGCTGACACTTTACCGATCTGTGGAGGGGCACTCAGGGGAGAGGGGGGCTTGTACCTCTGATGTCTCCCCCAGCACAGAAAGCCTTCTCACCGGCGCCCTTTATGATGATCAGGAAGGTTTGGGGATCCTGCTCCCACTTCTAGAAAGAAGACAGAATAAGCACAAGCTCATTAAGATACGGGCTCTGGCACAGACACACATCCTTGCCTGTGTAAATGGATAGACCACTTTTGCCCGCCCCCCTGTGTACATATCATATGTGATACGTAGCATCTCCTTATAAGGTATGTCCAGAAGAACGGACCCCAACTTCACTTTCTTTTCACACGTAAATTAGAGGCTATGCCAATGTAGGCTGCCAATGAATGCACTTTGTGACCCAACTTTCACGATGGCATCTGATGTCTTTGCCGTGACTTCTAGACAAAGGTTAAATATATATAAGACTTAATACAACTACGGGTTGCATAAGCTTAGTAATCTAGTGAACAAATCCATCCACAGGTTGTTGATAAACAGAAATAATCTTTCTAGTGTGTTGATATAGGGCTCTGTCCTACTGACAAATTTATAAGTGACAGAGAGAAAACACACAGACCTGAAAGTTGCGGCTGATAAGGCCAGCTAAAAATTAAGTAGGATAAAAGAACCAAGAGCCAATGTAAATTCAAACGACTAGAACTAAGGACCAATAAGATATTAGTTAACTACAAACAAAAGCGCTACAGAGGTGCTGTGAATTTACACGTGGGAACAGAAGTACAGATGCCCAGGAGAGTTGCAGCTGGGCAGCCAGTGGAAACGTGGTGTTCTACAGGAACTCTCTTCTTGCTTCCTCTCCGGTCCACCTCGAACCGGGAACACCGGGCTTATTTCTCTGGGTCACATTTAAGAACCTATTGCAAGGTATTCCAGCAGACACAGCACAAGGGAAGAGAGACTGGTCAGATGAAGAATGGAGAGCCGGTGGCCAGGGAGAGCTCGCCTCTGTGTAACGCCATGTGGCTGACCGTGCGAGGCCCACTGCCTGATGCTCTCCACAGCAATCCGAGGAGGCCCTCGAGTCCTCGCTCACAGCAGGAGAGGGAGACGCAGGAGAGTGAGTGATAAACAGAAGCCCAGCTTTCCAGCACCAGTGGTCCAGCTTTGAGTTATGATTCCCCTGGGCCTGCAGTTCACTTAGAATAGGAAAGCTGACGGATGGCCTTCCAGAAAAGGCTGGCCACGCAGCTCAAAAACAGTGGTCTTCCCATCAGAAGGCTGCTGCCGTGGGGAAGCTGAGTACATTGTGCCTCCACCGGGGCCACGAGGCAGAGCCAGTATCATTGGGTAAAAGGCGGGGGGAATGGAGAGGCAGGACAGAGGAGAGATTTAGAGCCTGGGGAGTGGAGGGGCCGTCTCCGGGGGCAACGCCCGCCCTGCCCGGTGCCTCAGGGGACCCGCAGGGCCAGCGCTGAGCTAGGAATCGATGGACGTGGGCAGATCCCAGACAGCCAATGACTCCACGGGGAAGAATGCCAGAAGTGTGCTTTAAAGGAATTTTAAAGTGACAGGTACAATTGCTGTGAGGAAACGACCCACCTTCAGCTGCGGGTAGATCTGCCGGATCATGCTCAGGTTGAGGGCGTTGAGGGCCTTGGGTCTGTTCAGGGTGATCACCCCTGCGCAGCCCCTCCTCTCCAGCAGCACCTCCGCGGCCGCATCCGTGTGGGCGCACAGCCTCTGTGTGGGCAATGACAGCTTTAATGGGAGCAGCGACACCAAAGGCAAAGCCTCACACAGCTCAGGCAACCCCATCACCTGGCGACTGCGTACATCCGATAGACCGCTCCAGGGAAAACAACCACACGTACCCCGCACATCCTTATATTTTACCTCTAAGGGTAGGGAGTCAACTTGGACGATGAAATACCCTTACATCTCTTATTACTTATACCAACCAACGTATTAGCTACTTAGAAAGCAAAGATGAATACACAGGGCAAATAATTCATACTACAGTGGCTACCAATAACTTGGAAAAAGTTGGTATTTGAGCTGGGCCTTCATATATGCCAAGAAAAAAGGGGGTGATGATGCTACAGAACAGTCCATGCAAAACGTAGCAATGAATATTTGAAAATGAACCTGAGCAGAATAAAGGCTGGTTGAGGACTGGTGCTGGGAAAGGAGGAAGAACGAGCAGGTGTAAAATGAAGGCTTCCGTGGCACAGGCATGAAGAACCTGCTCACATGCTCCCACGAGGGCCTCACACACCGGAACTTAATCACCAGTCTCACTGCTCAGGGCCCAGAGTGCTGACTGATGTAACACCGGGTTATCACTCAAACTTCACAGCGATCCCCAGGTCTCCGCTACACACAACTGATCAAGGCTGATGGCTCCACCCACTTCATACATTCCTTTAGGGCGGTGGTTCTCAGCCTTCCGAAGGCCTCGACCCTGTAACACAGCTCCTCAACCATAACATTATTTTTGTTGCTACTTCATAGCTGTGATTTTGCTCCTGTTATGAATCGTCATGTAAATATCCGTGTTTTCCGGTGGTGTTAGGCTCCTCAGCAGCGGGTCTCAACCTTTCTAAGGTCGCAGGCCCACAGGTTGAGAACCGCTAGCAGGGTCACCTAAGACCATCGGAAAACACACATATTCACATGCGAAGACCCATGCTCTTATCCACAGCCTGCCTCAGGCCACCTCCCACAGGTCATGCTGGTCAGGTACCAGGGTGTGCCAAGGTCAACACCTGCCAGTCTTTCTCTTCTTCCCAAACAACGGCACTGTGAGTTGCACCTCATCACCTACGAGGCCAGCAAAACAAAGCCCCAACTTACCAAGTGCTGCAGTATGACATTAGTCCTTTTGAAAGCGTTAAACCTGAAACAAATGTAGGATACAATGAACACAATAATGTGAGAAGTCACATTTCAACGTATAAATACTATACGCATTGCTTTAGTCTCTTCGGAAATGTATTAAAACAAAAAGGTGTGGGTTTTTTTTTTTTTTAAGATTTAGGTAGAAGAGGGTAAAGGGGGATAAATGTGACTGAAGCAGACTTAACTTGGGAGAAGGACGGTGAACACACAGTATAATGTACAGATGATGTGTTAGAGGTTGTACACTGAAACCTATGCCACCCAACAAATTATATAAATAACACTGTCACCCCAATAAATTCAATACAAAAATTAAAAAGGCTTAAGTCTCATTCATTGCTGGTAGAACAAATGCATGGCCACTTTGTAAGACAGCTGGGCAGTTTCTTACAAAACTAAACATACTCTACCATATGATCCAGCAATTGCACTCCCTGTATTTATCCAAATGAGTTGAAAATATTTTCATAATAAAACCAGTGCCTAAGTGTTTATGGTAGCTTTATTCACAAGAGCCTAAACATGGATGTAACCAGAGGTCCTTCAGTGGGTAAAAGGATAAATAAAATGTGGTCTATCTACACAATGAAATATTAATAAAAAGAAATCGGCTACCATTCCACAAAAGGCATAGCGGAATCTTAAATCTGCTCTGCTAAGCAGAGGAAGCTTTTCTGAGAAGATGCCCTGTGCAGTCCACTAGAGGCCATTCTGAAAGAGCACAGCCGGGTGACAGGGAGAAGGCCAGAGGGGCCAGGAAGAGGGAAGAACTGGTGAAATGCATGGGAGGCTTGGGCGGTGGATTAAATTAGCCTGTATAACTGCGGTGGTGGAGAGTAGCTTCATTTTAAATGGAACTCAATACATCAGGACCCACTGTTCAACTGACTGGGAAAAATACTCTGCGTCCAGATACGCCCAGATATCCAGCAGCAAACAGTCATCATCACAAAAATACTGACTCCTCCATCAGGAAGAAAGAACGCAGGAAGAATTGGAGTGAGGGAGCTTGAGGGAGTGAGGGTGTGCTCCTGCACACTTAGGAAAACACTGTCAAGTCTTTACTCAAAAATTTTCTGCCCTGGGTCAAGTACAATTCCCAGACACCCATGGGAGGACCAACAGCAGGCCGGCCTCACAGCCAGTCTGTCTGCTTTCTGTAACTGGTCGGGAACTGCGGGGCCAGGGCACCAGAGGAACAAAAGGTGGCTGGCCCTGCCTTCTTGAACTTTCCCAAAGCACAAGGCAAGATCCTGCCCTACAGCCACCTCCTGGCCCCGCCTCAAGGCGGTGGATGTGGTGTCTCAGGGCGCCCGTTGGCCAGGCCAAGAGCAGGATGAGCCGAACGCAGACCACAGCTGCAGACCCTGAACAAAGGACTAAGGCCACACAGCTGGAGGTCAGAAGGAAGGCATGGCTTCCCTCATTAGCAAGAAGTGTGCAAACACACCTGCCCCAATGACTGGAGGACAGTGCCGAGCTCACCCACACAGCCCCAAAGGGTATGAGCACGCTCTCTTATGCGGGACAAGGTGGGGAGGGGGGCTGTGGGGCCTGGGACCCCGCGGTGTCTCTCAGAGCGTTACCACTTCTTCTTTGTACTACAGCTGTGGACCCCAAGGTTGTGGAGATGCCCTGGCTGAGTGATGAAGGCTGGGGTATGTATGTCTGCTTCCCCTCAACCACGTGACAGTTTTGGAGCCAACGGGGAGAAAAGAGAAGACCATAAACTCAGAGTTACTAGGGGACTCTGAATACCTGAATACATGTATGAATCAGAATAGAAGTAATCCTATAAAATAAAAGCCTAGGTGGCACCTCAAGATGGCCAGCAGGGAGGGCAGTTGTGGCTGATCAAGCCAGCAAGAGGGGGAAGTTGGGGGGATTGGGCCAGCAGGGGAGCAGTTAGATGTTGATCAGGCCAGCAGGGCAGTGATTAGGGGGCAATCAAGCTGGCAGGCAGGTGAGTGGTTAGGAGCCAGCAGTCCCAGATTGTGAGAGGGATGTCCAACTGCCAGTTTAGGCCCGATTCCTATGGGGGTCCCAGATTGGAGAGGGTGCAGGATTTTGTGCACCGAGCCTCTAGTGATTATATAAAATCTGGTAAGGAACTTAGTGGTAATTCGGTTTGCTTGTTTTCTGCTTTGGTCCAGAGATTTTTTTCGACCTATGAATGCAGCACTCAGTGAGTTACACCTGCATTTGGCAGGTTTTTATTAACTTTCTATGAGGGAAATAAAATTGTCTTGCACATAACACTGGGACGTGAAGCTAGACCTGTTCTCCTGTTTACGCGCTGCAGGAAGTGTAGAAGCTGTTACATAAAGCTTGCCAATCTGGCAGCACATCTTTAACCTTGCTCTGGCATTTGGGTACTGGCCTCAGGAAGGAATTCAAAGGTGTTCTGACTTAAAGAAGAGAGCTCTCACATTTTCTGTTCTTCCAAAAAGATAGAATTGAGCTAGGTTTTTAAAAAACGTTAGAAAAGGTGCTCCCGGGTAAGCCTCGTTCAGATTTTAAATGTCCTTATGAAAACCCTACTTAGAAAACGTCCCTAGGTAGGCCAGGCTCTGTCACGTCACCCTGAACTCTGGGACCGACACATTTCTAAAAGCACCGACTTTACAGACAAAACCCCTGGGCCTGTGCCCACCTCCAGGGCTCAGGACTTCCTGGTCTGGCTGTGACCCTGTGCAAGTCTGCAGGTGACTCTAATGTGCATACAAGGAGTTCCCGGGAAATGACCCAACAGCTCAGCCGGCGCGGAGACCCAGCTCCCCGGAAGCACTCCTGGGCCCCCCTCTGAATGCACTGGGGGTTCAGGCTGCGGCCCTGGGCTCCGGGCTCCGCGTTGCTGGGCTGCCCCTGCCCGGAGCTCGCCCGGCCAGTTCTGCCCTTGAAGGGGTGGCGGGAGCCCTGCCCGGTCAGCCCACTTGGTTAGTAACCGGGCCTTCCCCGCTGCCCACTCTCTCCAACGGGCGCGGAGCGGGGCGCGGGCTGCTTTCTCGGAAGCCACCGACCCTGCGCTGCTCGAAGGCGCGGGCAGCTGCTTCAGGCGTGAGAAGCGAAGAACGCGACCCCGCCAATCCTCATCCGGGCCTGAGGCAGGCGCCCGCGCGGAGGGCGGAGGGCGGAGCCGGGCTCCGCTGCAGCGGCCAGCCGGACCCTTAAGGGGCCGCAGGGCGCGGTGCAGCCACCCGCCCAGACGCCAGCTCCCGGGCGGCGGGCGGCCTCGGAGGTGGGTCTCCGCCCGCGGCCCGGCCGGAGCTCCGGGCACCGGCGGGGCCGCTGGGAGCACCGGCGCCGGCAGGACCCGCCCCCATTACTGGGCGCCGGCCGCCGTGCGGAGGGAGGGGTCCCGCGTCGGGGCGGGGGCGCGGGGATGCTCCCGGCGGTGCTGGCCGGAGGGCGGCCGGGGCGCCGGGCGCGCCGGGGCGGGAGTGTGGGTCCCCGAGGGCGACTCGGAGCTTCCGGCCGCCGGCCCGGCCGACACTTCCTCCCGCAGGCGCGCGCCGCCGCCCGCCGCGCTCACCTTGACCCGAGCCCCGACATGTCCGGCGGCCTGGGCTCCGGAACAGCAGCCACCACCCGGCGGGGCGGGCTCCCAAGGCTGCTCCGCCCGCGCCCGGCCCGCCCCGCCGCCCCGCGCCCCCGGAAGCGGATGACAGTCCTCCGGGGGCGGGGCGGCCTCGCGAGCTCCCGTACGCAGCGCTGAGGGGCGGGGCGAGAAGGGAGGGGCGGGGCCCGGGTGGCCGGGGCGGGGCTAAGGCTGAGGGCGGGAGGGGAAGGGCGGGGCCTGGGACGGCTGAGGGGCGGGGCTAAGGCTGAGGGCGGGAAGGCGGGGCCTGGGCGGAGGGGCGGGGCCGGGGCGGAAGCGGCGGCGGAGAGCAGACGCGAGCTGATTGGCCGGAAAGAGGTTCTCGCCCAGAGGCTCTTGGGCGATTCCCGTGGCCTAGGCTGGGCGTGTTCCTTCCCCAGCAGAATTTGACATGGGAAGCTTTCCTGGAATTTTAACCTCTTTAAATTAAAAAGGTAAATTTAGCCGAAACCGATGTGGCTGGGTCCCAGGTTCGATTCCGGTCAAGGGCATGTACCTTGGTCGTGGGCACATCCCCTGGGGGGGGGGGGGGTGCAAGAGGCAGCTGATGGAAGTGTCTAACTTCTATCCCTCTCTCTTCCTCTGTAAAAAAAATCAATGAAATATATAAAAATAAAAATGTAAATTTAATAGTCTCTTATTTGAGGACTCGATCAGATGAAATGCCTCCGCAACAGGACATCGATGTAGTTTGTTCCTAATTCAACACCCTGAACTTGCACAGAAGGAAGTCGCTTGATGAGTTAAAGACAGCACAACCGGCTTGTCCGCTCCCCCATTGGCCTCAGGTTTTACCAGAATGACTTGGGAACGTGAGGGTGGAGATGCAATGGGTGTGGCGTAGGAAACAGATTTTTGTGTGTGACAAATGTTAAGGAAGCCTCTAAAAATTGTATTTTGAATGCTTAAGAAATTAAAAGCACTCAATACACGATTCCCTATCAAATTAGTTTCATTTTCATATCGGTCATGTGATATCCAAAAGACAGATTGTAAAACTGTTAACAGTTCCCAACATAAAGCTAGGCAAACATTCCAAAACAAAATACACAAAAGGAATAAGCAATCGGGAAGTAACGTTTGAGATAACAGAGTTTGCAATAAAATGATTTTACACACGAGAGTCATCAGGGAGGATCCAACAAAAGCTGATGTTAAGGTCTCCCTTAGATGACTAAACAAGGGAACATTCAGGAAGCTTGAGAATGGAAGGAAATGACTCGCTGATGATATGCTTGCTCCCACGGGTCACCTTTGTGCCAACAGCACAGAACTCGAGGCCCACTAGTAAGCGCTGGGCAGGAGCTGACCGAGAATGTTCCGGCCAAGAATGTTCCGGCCAAGAGCAGGGAACGGCAGCACAGCGTTCCTTCCGGAACTTCCTGCTCCCGGATCCCAGCCTTCCATTCACCTGTCAGGGGGACCTCAGACCCTAAGGATCCACATGCTTCCAGGCTTGTGCTCTACTTTATACATCTGGAAAAGATGAGAGGGGAAAAGACAGCTCGCATTGTATGAAGTTTAACATATAGACACTGTGTGTGGTGTGTGTGTGTGTGTGTGTGTGTGTGATAGACTAAAGAAAATTATTCAAGCGCAGTGAGAACTTGTGAGAGAGAAGCTTATAGTCCTACACATTGCCACGTTACTGTAAATACACCCGCCTGACTTGTTCCAGAAATGTGTCCTTCTATTTAGACACCTCGGCCACCTGTGGTCTTCTCTACACCTTCCCTCCCCCCAGTGTATGTAACGCACTAAACTTGCCTTCAGAAAGACTCAAAGTATTAAATATTCCGTCACAGAGATGTTAAATATTCCCTGCATCTCTTTAAAAATCACAGCTGAGCTTTGCATTCACAAGCGTTATCTAATCTTCCCGAAGGCGCGCGTGAGTGATTTATATGACTTACGGTCATGACGTGGACACAAAGGTCAGATTGTGCTCGGGGTGCTGGGACCGCTTACGGCTAAACCAGTTCCAGCCCAGTCCTCCTGTGGGCGGCCCACGCTGTCCTCTCCCCATGAACCGCTGGGTCAGCTGGGCACGGGCCTCGCAGAAGAGCTGCAGGCGGCAGATGCTGCCAAACTCACAAGACCAGTGTGTGTGTTTGGGGGCTGCAGAAGGGGGAGTGACCATCTCCATCTGGGGGAGTAGATTCAGAAAAGGTTTTCTCAAACTGAAAACTAAGGTCCTTTGTTGTCGCCTGAGCAAAGTTTCTTTTCTTTTTGCTTGAATGCAAAAACAGTATGTAGTCACTCAAAGAAACGCAAACACACAACAACAACAAAACACAAATATGTACAATCACACCCCCAGCCTGAGACCTCTATCAACATCTTAATGTGTTTACGTCTTTTAGCTCTTGTTCTATGCTCATACACACGTATGATTATGCTGCCTTTGGGATGACAACACAGACATTTGTTGGTAAACTGTGTTTTTCCACGCAAGTCACAAATCCTCATGCAAAAAACATCATCTGTAACTTGTTAAAACGTTTAAAGAACTTGTTTCCACCGGGTGGCAGGGCTCAGTGGCTGAGCATCAGCCTCTGCACCAGGACACTGTTCCTTCCATTCTAGGTCAGGGCACATGCCAGGTTGCTGGTTCCATCCCCAGTGTGGGGCGTGCAGGTAGCAGCTGATCAATGAATATCATCATTGATGTTTCTTTCCTTCCTCCCTCCCTCTCCCTTTCTCTCTGAAATAAAACAAACAGACTTGGTTTCTCCTCTCTGGTAACCCATTTCTGTCTTCAGACACTTAGCGCTCTCGCTCTTTCTCTCTCTCTCTCTCCCCCACTCAGCAATTACCACACGCATTGTGGGCACACATTCCTGTGGTCTCTCTACTCCTTGCGCACAGTCTGCCCACAGGGCATTTCCAGACCACAGCCCTCCAGCTGCTAATAGCTTTCATAGTTTTTAAAGATTAAAAAAAAAAAAAAAAAGACACATAAAGAAGAAAAGTAATAAGAGACATGTGTGGCCTCAAAGCCTAAATATTTGCTGTCTGGGCTTTTAAAACCAACATCTGTCAATCCCTGTATTATGAATCCCAAGAAATGCTATTTTTGAGTCAAAGAATGTGAACATTTTTTGAGGCTTTGGCTGCGCTCTGCCAAATTGAGGAAACATTGAAGCAGCTTCTGTCCTCCGCAGGCCTGGGTGTCCATTGGCCAGGCACCCGGCCGGGGCACTGCCCAAAGGCTAGCCAGCACTGCCAGTTCTTTTGTTCTCAGCCTGAGCGGTTTAAGTTTTCACTTCCCTTAAAAAGAGCCTTGGCCATTTTCTTTCTTAGCTTAACTAATTTACATTTTTGCTTATTAAAAGACAACAGCAGGGTATTTTTTTTCTTTGTAAGGCCTCTTGAGCAAATAAGGATGTCAGACTTGCCGAAACTGGTGTGGCTCAGTGGATAGAGCATCAGCCTGTGGACTGAAAGGTCCCGGGTTCCATTCCTGTCAAGGGCATGTACCTTGGTTGCGGGCACATCCCCAATAGTGGGTGTGTAAGAGTCAGCTGATCGATGATTCTCTCTCATCGATGTTTCTAACTCTCTATTCATCTCTGTAAAAAATCAATAAAATATATATATTTTTAAAAAGATGTCATGCTCTTATCTATCTTCCTATCTACTGTGTTTTCCAAAAAATAAAACATTCTCAGAAAATAAGACCTACTTACAGGTTTCCTTCTGAGTGAAATATAAGGCATCCTTCAAAAATAAGCCCCCCCCCCCCCCAGGCTAAACATGAGAGATTTGGTCTACTGATTCTGAAAGAAATGGAGTCATAAGAAATTCACCAGGAAATTCAGGAATTGGATTGTTATGATGATGTTCCAGAAGATGACAACATGATTGTCATTGAATAAATGAGTAAATTCTTGATACTGTAGGATTCACAGTTTGTCTGGTTTGTGTTGACAACTACCGTACTACCGTACCGTACACAGGTAATAAATTTCCTTTATTTTCTTTTAACAATAAATGTGTACCGTATTCTTCTTCATGGAAAAATAAGACACCCCCTGAAAATAAGACCTAGTGCATCTGTGGGAGCAAAAATTAATATACCGTATTTTCCAGTGTATAAGATGACCCCCTAATTTTACAGTTAAAACATAGGTTTAGGCCTATATTTGCTGTATAAGACTATCCCCCACTTCAAAGAAAAGACTTTGCCATCAAGATCTGCAGGTAATTTTTGTGCAATTTTGGTCTTTTGCCCCCGATTTTCGGTTGACTTTTTTTCGTTTCAAAAGTGTTTTATACGCCGGAAAATACGGCATATAAGTAAGACCCTGTCTTATTTTCGGGGAAACAGGGTATCTATATTTTAATGATTAGGGGATGATTTTAGTGATTTTTTACTTACCTTTAACTTTATTTAATGGGTCTTTTTGACGAAAAGAAGTTAAAAATTCTATAGTCAAGCCTGCCACTTTTCTAATTTTGCCCTTAATTTCATGCTTACTTTGAGATTAAAAGCAATTCACTTATTTAAAAAAAAATTTTTTTTATTGGTCTGAGAGGAAAGAAGAGGGAGAGGGAGAAACATCCATGATGGGAGAGAAACACCGATGGGCTGCCTCCTGCACACCCCACACTGGGGATATGGGCTGTGAGTGGGCCTGGCCTGGGGACGGAGCCGTGACCCCTGTGACCTCCGGGCTCACCCCGGAGCCAGTGGGCAGGTTCTCAGCACCATCTGCTCGCCCCAGGCTTCCATCTTGGGGCTCGGAGGGCCCGGGCTGACGTCTGGGGAGGCGTGGCGGTTTGGAGAGATTCCGATAAGAAACCCTGTAAAACGGAGCTTTCCCCTGGCAGGCCCTGGGCTGGGAGGATGACAGGGGTCCTCTCCCGGCCCGCAGAGCCTCCCCGCGCACCCGCTGGGCCTGCCCGGGACAGTCCTGGGTGCGTGGTGGTCCTGGTTAGGGGGCCCCTGGGT